CGACATAAAGGAGGTTGCGGACAGTTTGATGTGGCAAGAGAACAGCATCATAGAGTAAGAAATCAGTAATATCAATCATGGCATGGACCATGACACCGTCGTTCCACACCTCCCAATGGTCAGAGGGGTGTACAATAGCCATGTAATGGCCAGGCCCATGCACAATGCAGGCAGAGATGCGGGATGGAGGATTAAACAGCTCACCTGGTAGAGCATGGCGTAGTTCAAGCTGGCGGTTCCTCATCGCTATTTCTAGGACAGCAATGGTAAATTCTCCTTCCCTGGTGTAATTACGATGCTCTGGCTGTAGGTCGGGGGGATCAGCGAGATTAGCCAGATCAACATCAAGCTGCAGGGCAATTGCAAGGAAATCTGATGGTGTATACAACGGCCGATTGAGAACGCGAAGGCAGCTATTAGTTGCGGTCAGACCACAGAGATTGGCGGGGATCTCAGGCTGATTTTGTTGGTCAGTCATTTGTAGATCACCCGTGGGGTCTGCGCAGGGTGGTGCATAAGTATGCGGTTCATCCATATGATCATGGTCAGCCATTTGCAAATCCCTCGTGGGGTCTACGCCATGCGGGATTAAATGCAGTCCAAGCAGATCATGTTCCAGTCCCTCAACGTTCGGGGCCACACAGGGTGGGGCACAAGTACGCGGTTCATCCATATGATCTTGGTCAGCCATTTGCAAATCTCCCGTGTGGTCTATGCCTTGCGGGGTTAAATGCAGTCCGAGCTGATCATGTCCCAGGCCCTCAGCGTTCGGGGCCACATCGTGAGTAGGGACTGTCGTTGGGAGTGTACTCTGGGCAGGGACCATATCCTGTTGCACAGCTGGGGGACAAACGAACATGGAAGGGCATAAAACATGGTCAAGGCCCTCAGCGTTCGGGGCCACATCGTGAGTAGGGACTGTCGTTGGGAGTGTACTTTGGGCAGGGCCCATATCCTGTTGCACAGCTGGGGGACAAACGAACATGGAAGGGCATAAAACATGGTGTTGTGGCTGTATGCAAGCAGCTGGACTGTCTGCAGGAGGCATAGGAGCAGATGTATCCGTTTGGGACGACGGAACCGCAACAACCCATGGAGGAGGCACAGAGAGAATTGGGGTAGACAAAAAGCAGGCCACTGATCCCTGGCCAAGTGGCGATGTTGTGCATGTCGTCRACGATGATACACAATAAGAGGAGTGGCGATGTTTCTAACAGAAGATGTCACTGGCAATGAAGGCGGAACAATAGGAAGAATAGAAACCGGAGAATCGGTTCTCAAACGAGACTCTGGAGGAGATGGGGGTGACGAGGAGGAACGCAGCCGTCTGCGGCCAAGCACAGAAAGGGATGAAAGGGGGGTGGATTCGTCGGAACATAGGACGCGAGTGTCGGGCTGGGGTAGAGGAAGCTATACCAGTAAAAACTATAGCATGAGAAATTCGAGGTACAGAAGCAGAGGAAGTGGTAAAAAGTGGAACCGCGGCAGAGACAAGTGTTGTAGTAGGAACCACAGTAGAGGCAACTTCCGTAGCAGGGACCGCAGCGTAGGCAACTTCCGTAGCAGAAACTGCTGGAGTGAAACCCGGAGTTGAAACAGCAGCAGTAGAAACTGCAGCAGTGGAGACCACAGCGGCAGCAGCAGTAGAAATTGCAGCAGTGGAGACCACAACTGTGGAAGCGGCGGCGGTGGGAACCACAACAGTGGGAACTGCATTAGCAGCAGATGAACAAGCAGTGACAGGACGAGCAGCGGAGGCAACTTCCGTAGCAGAAACTGCTGGAGTGAAACCCGGAGTTGAAACAGCAGCAGTAGAAACTGCAGCAGTGGAGACCACAGCGGTGGAAGCAGCGACGGTGGGAATCGCAACAGTGGGAACTGCATTAGCAGCAGATGAATAAGCAGTGACAGGACAAGCGCAATGAGGGGATAAAGAAGAAAGTGGGTGATGCAAGGACCATCGCAGTGTGCGTCGGAACCACTGAGAGAGATGGGTGACATGTGTAGGATAGCGACGTTGGCGGGAGCGTGTGTAGCAGGTTCATCCTTTAGCGAGGGTTGGTGGGGAATGGCCACGAGAAAGCATGCGACAGGTGAGTGTTGTCGCTGCAGTTCGGAAGTCCTGCCAATTATTGCAGATGCGTTCAAATCTGGTCAATTGCCCAGTGAACACACCTGCCGGTTGATGGGAAGGGATGTTGGAGGTAGCACTTGGATAGCGAATAACAGGGAAATCCCAAGCAACCGCTTTATCAAACATGCTCATGCGAAGCGAACCATCAGAACGTACTCGTAGATGCATACCTAAAAAGGTACACGAGCCATCTGTAGCCGTAGTTTCCTTCCACTCAAGCCCATAGTGCTCTGAAGGAGGAGGTAATTGCCCCCATGAAAGAACATCATCAATGAGGCCGTAAGTGAAGGCGTATCGCTGAGAAGCTTGGGGATCATGTTGACGAATGTCATCAATAAAGCGTGCTTCATCCCAATAGAGCGTTAGATTGGAAATTTCTGGGCCAGCATTTGTTCCCATTGGAATACCAATGATTTGCTTTCGAAGAGTGYCATCTCTAGTGTACAGAAAAGTGTTTTCTACAACAAAGCGAAGATGTTGGAGAAATCTGAGAAACGGAAAGGCTGTCTGGTCCTAAATCGGTTGTCCATTGGCAAGAGCAAGGCCCGCGAATGAACATGTTCAAGGCTCTGCAGCGCGAATGCATGCGGGTATGCTGAAGAGCATAAGCATGAGCTTCATCAACAGCCTTTGCCACATTATTCAAAATGCGGTCATGAGGAAGGTTGGTGTACATTGTGGTGAAATCAACCGTGCGAGGAGAGAGGCCACGTA